AATGGAATTGCTTTTATAAATCAGTGTCACATTATACATTCAGCCCACCGACTTCAACCCAGCTCGAGTACAATGCTCACAAATCTTGAGAGAATATTTGAAAGTTGTCTTTTTGTGAGACATCTTTTTCACATGCACAGCAGCTTATGTTAATCTTTAGAGACAGGACTAAGATGGCGGCTCCTGGCAGTGGTAGACTACTTTTTAAAATTCAAAGTGGCTTTTTCAAATCAAATCAATTTAACTTTGTGTAGCCCGAAATCACAACAGCGGGACTTGACAGAGATGGGCCAAAAACAGACCAGAGAGTGAGTTTGAACACAGGAAATGCAATAATAACAAATATATATCATAGCTATTGGTCCATGGGGATGAACAATGTGCATACTGAGAGGTGAGAGAGAGCACATTACCCCTGTGCTGGCCTCACCTCACTGTCTGAGAGAGCACATCACCCCTGTGCTGGCATCACCTCACTGTCTGAGAGAGCACATCACCCCTGTGCTGGCCTCACCTCACTGTCTGAGAGAGCACATCACCCCTGTGCTGGCCTCACCTCACTGTCTGAGAGAGCACATCACCCCTGTGCTGGCCTCACCTCACTGTCTGAGAGAGCACATCACCCCTGTGCTGGCCTCACCTCACTGTCTGAGAGAGCACATCACCCCTGTGCTGGCCTCACCTCACTGTCTGAGAGAGCACATCACCCTGTGCTGGCCTCACCTCACTGTCTGAGAGAGCACATCACCCCTGTGCTGGCCTCACCTCACTGTCTGAGAGAGCACATCACCCCTGTGCTGGCCTCACCTCACTGTCTGAGAGAGCACATCACCCCTGTGCTGGCCTCACCTCACTGTCTGAGAGAGCACATCACCCCTGTGCTGGCCTCACCTCACTGTCTGAGAGAGCACATCACCCCTGTGCTGGCCTCACCTCACTGTCTGAGAGAGCACATTACCCCTGTGCTGGCCTCACCTCACTGTCTTCAGGGTCACATTCAGCTGAGATTCTGGTTTTTACATTTTATAATGGTTTAGCTTTAACAGAAATGCTATCTCTATGGTGGTCTCTTGCTGGTCACTCTCTCTTTCTGGTGTCTTAAGGAGCTGTTGTCTCCCTCTCTCCGGCCTCTCTCTCTGGCCTCTCTCTGGCCTCTCTCTGGCCTCTCTCTGGCCTCTCTCTCTCTGATCCCGCTCTCTCCTCAACAATTCCTGCTCAAATTAATGCATAAACAGACTAAACAGAAAGTAGCAGAAGAAATGTATGTATTTCATGGAGAAAAGTGCTTCACAAGTCGTCCTATTGAAGTGCTAAAGTCCCGCGGAGTTTGAAGAACACGCTGCTAATAAGGTGTTGTCAGACTCACGTTGCTCCACATTCTGATTCCCTCTGCTGCCGATTTTAAATGAGAACATTGGGTTTGGTTTTCTGTGGCACTAAAGACCACATTTCTCCAGAGACAGGTGAATAATAACACCAGCTACAATTAAAATTAAAAGCCGGTCTCCCGTGGCCACCTCTCCCGTACTTCACACCTGAGCCCATGCTAATCAGCTAACACTCTCAGCCTTGTTATCAACTTAAGAAGCATTTAAACAGTGATTGCTGAAGGTGATGGCGGCAGCTCGTGCACCAACCCCACTCCTCCCCAACCCCACTCCTCCCTGTGTCTCCAGCTCATTACTTCACTTTTCATGAACTCAATTTCAATACACAAAAGGACTCATTCAATTTAATGTATAGCCTTAAATCACGACAGTAGTTATGTTAGGACTTTGCAAAGCTGTTGATTCGCCAACAACAGATCAGAGAAGCAAACACAGATAACACAATGATCGATCTCTCTCTCTCTCTCTCTCTCTCTCTCTCTCTCTCTCTCTCTCTCTCGAGAGAGAGAGAGAGAGAGAGAGAGAGAGAGAGAGAGAGAGAGAGAGAGAGAGAGAGAGAGAGAGAGAGAGAGAGAGAGAGAGAGAGAGAGAGAGAGAGAGAGAGAGAGAGAGAGAGAGAGAGAGAGATGAGAGAGAGAGAGAGAGAGAGAGAGAGAGAGAGAGAGAGAGAGAGAGAGAGAGAGAGAGAGAGAGAGTGAGAGAGAGAGAGAGAGAGAGAGAGAGAGAGAGAGAGACGAGAGAGAGAGAGAGAGAGAGAGAGAGAGAGAGAGAGAGAGAGAGAGAGAGAGAGAGAGAGAGAGAGAGAGAGAGAGCTAAAATACACACCAGATATAGCATTTCTGCTTTGAGCTAGCCCCTTCAATAATTTAATGGGAAAGAGACAGACCAGAGCGAGAGACCATAGAGAGACCACTGAGAGAGCAAAGAGACCAGAGAGACAGACCAGAGCGAGACCAGAGAGAGATAATCATAAAATCCACCTGAACATGACCGGGAACACAGTGAGTGAGGCCAGCACAGGGGTAATGTGCTCTCTCTTAGTGCTCTCTTAGTAAGTAAGTAAGCTTTATTTATATACCGCCTTTCACAGACCAGAGTCACAAAGCAGTTTACAATTGTTATTTTTGGGCACTTGTCTCTCACTCCACACAGAGATGGGAGCGGGGTCAGTACAGGAGGCACTATTGTACATATTTTTAGTGGTAGGGGAAACCTACGCAGACACCACTCAGAAAGGCCTGGTCCGGCTGGGATTCGAACCCAGGACCTTCTTGCTGAGAGGCGACAGTGCTATCCACTCAGCCACCGTGCCGCCCTCTTAGTGCTCTCTCTCACCTCCTCCTCTCTCACTTCTTTTCAGAGATGACATGGGACATCCATGCACCTTCATCAACATTCACTAAATAAAAACAAATAAGAAAACATCCTAGCAAAAGATAAACAAACAAATACCTTACTTTCTTAGCTCTTTGCATCTTACTACTGTCCTGGAAGTGCACTGCAACACTGACATTTCCCCTCTAATCTGACCTTCCAACTGCAGTATACAGTGTGTGATCCCAGTGCTGTGTCCTGGAGAGCAGCGCTGAGAGACTTTTACACTGACTTTGATCCTTTGTGTGGTTTTTAAGTGTAACATAAGTAGGTCAGTGTCGTGTCCGCTGTGAAACTGAACAGATCTGAGGCTGATTCAAAACGAGTCCCAACGATTCTTTCTATTCTTTTATGTTTTGTTCACTAAAACAAAAAACGTGTAAAACTGGCGTCACTCGGACTGAAAGTACAAAGATAGAGGTGAAGGAAAACATTTCTATCTCTCTCTCCCTCTGGCCTCTCCCTCTCTCTGGCCTCCCTCCCTCTCTCTGGCCTCCCTCCCTCTCTCTGGCCTCCCTCCCTCTCTCTGGCCTCCCTCCCTCTCTCTGGCCTCCCTCCCTCTCTCTGGCCTCCCTCCCTCTCTCTGGCCTCCCTCCCTCTCTCTGGCCTCCCTCCCTCTCTCTGGCCTGCCTCCCTCTCTCTGGCCTGCCTCCCTCTCTCTGGCCTGCCTCCCTCTCTCTGGCCTCCCTCTCTCTGGCCTCCCTCTCTCTGGCCTCCCTCTCTCTGGCCTCCCTCTCTCTGGCCTCCCTCTCTCTGCCCTCCCTCTCTCTGCCCTCCCTCTCTCTGCCCTCCCTCTCTCTGGCCTCCCTCTCTCTGCCCCCTCTCTCTCTGCCCCATCTCTCTCTCTCTCTCTCTCTCCACAGTTTCAGTCCGTTTACATGAATCTATCCAAACATTTTCCATCCGCGCTGCTCCCGACACCACCGTGCTTCTAAATCATGCCTCAGTAAATCACAGGAGTAAACATATGGCAAAGGGAACTACAGTAATCTACTTATTGTTCACTTTCAGACCCTCCCACAAACAAACGCCGGCCAGCGCTGGCGTCGGCCAAGCAGCAAATGTGCGATCTGGCGCCCGGGGAGGACAGAGGGCCTCTCTCACCGGTCAGCGCTGTCCTTAATGAGGAGAGAAGGTGATTTACAATCTCCTGATGCTGCCTCTGCTCCTTCACTTGTCCTGCTCTGCCTCGAGACGAATCACAGAGAAAAAAACGAGTGTAGCATTTAAGCTAACAACTCCAACACTCTGGTCTCTCTCTGGTCTCTCTCGTTGCTCTCTGGTCTGACTCTCTTGACCCTCTCTCTGGCCTCTCTCTCTCTGGCCTCTCTCTCTCTGGCCTCTCTCTCTCTGGCCTCTCTCTCTCTGGCCTCTCTCTCTGTCCTCTCTCTCTCTGGCCTCTCTCTCTCTGGCCTCTCTCTCTCTGGCCTCTCTCTCTCTGGCCTCTCTCTCTCTCTGGCCTCTCTCTCTCTCTGGCCTCTCTCTCTCTCTGGCCTCTCTCTCTCTGGCCTCTCTCTCTCTGGCCTCTCTCTCTCTGGCCTCTCTCTCTCTGGCCTCTCTCTCTCTGGCCTCTCTCTCTCTGGCCTCTCTCTCTCTGGCCTCTCTCTCTGGCCTCTCTCTCTCTGGCCTCTCTCTCTCTGGCCTCTCTCTCTCTGACCCCTCTCTCTCTGACCCCTCTCTCTCTGGTCCCTCTCTCTCTGGTCCCTCTCTCTCTGGTCCCTCTCTCTCTGGTCCCTCTCTCTCTGGTCCCTCTCTCTCTGGTCCCTCTCTCTCTGGTCCCTCTCTCTCTGGTCCCTCTCTCTCTGGTCCCTCTCTCTCTGGTCTCTCTCTCTGGTCCCTCTCTCTCTGGTCCCTCTCTGGTCCCTCTCTCTCTGGTCCCTCTCTCTCTGGTCCCTCTCTCTCTGGCCTCTCTCTCTCTGGCCTCTCTCTCTCTGGCCTCTCTCTCTCTCTGGCCTCTCTCTCTCTGACCCCTCTCTCTCTGACCCCTCTCTCTCTGACCCCTCTCTCTCTCTGGCCTCTCTATCTGACCCCTCTCTCTCTGACCCCTCTCTCTCTGGTCTCTCTTCCTTAGTTTATGTTTACTCACTCGTCCCTAAATCAACCACAGTCGTGTCTTTTTGAATCAAACCAATCGACCACAGACTGAGCGTTGACGCAGGACCATAAACGTCCTTCCTAGTCCATGTTGCCGTGGAGCAAAACCAATTTCATCGTGAGTGGCTTTTAGAAACACGTCACTCAGCGTTTGTCACCGTTATTTAAAGAGAGAAACCCTGCGTCTGAATGGAACCAGGGAAGTGTCTGCTCCTGCTGCCTCTGCACAGCCACGAGGATGATGATGTTCTGCCGTGATGAAGTTAGTCTGTGCTTAACTGAAGAAAGAGACAATTTCACGGCGTTTGGAAAAATCAAATTGCTTTTCTTGATTGGATCCAGCTCGTGAGGAGTGCTTGAAATAATCCCACTGTAGAATAATTCAAGGCATAATCCAGGACTGGAAAAGATGTCAGGGAAGGAAATGAGAGAGATGAGAAGGGACACGGAGCACAGGGACTGGACTCCTGCTGCGACCGTGAGGAGCACAGGGACTGGACTCCTGCTGCGACCGTGAGGAGCACAGGGACTGGACTCCTGCTGCGACCGTGAGGAGCACAGGGACTGGACTCCTGCTGCGACCGTGAGGAGCACTGGACTCCTGCTGCGACCGTGACTGGACTCCTGAGCGACGTGAGGGCACTGGACCTGCTGCGACCGTGAGGAGCACTGGACTCCTGCTGCGACCGTGAGGAGCACTGGACTCCTGCTGCGACCGTGAGGAGCACTGGACTCCTGCTGCGACCGTGAGGAGCACTGGACTCCTGCTGCGACCGTGAGGAGCACTGGACTCCTGCTGCGACCGTGAGGAGCACTGGACTCCTGCTGCGACCGTGAGGAGCACTGGACTCCTGCTGCGACCGTGAGGAGCACTGGACTCCTGCTGCGACCGTGAGGAGCACTGGACTCCTGCTGCGACCGTGAGGAGCACTGGACTCCTGCTGCGACCGTGAGGAGCACTGGACTCCTGCTGCGACCGTGAGGAGCACTGGACTCCTGCTGCGACCGTGAGGAGCACTGGACTCCTGCTGCGACCGTGAGGAGCACTGGACTCCTGCTGCGACCGTGAGGAGCACTGGACTCCTGCTGCGACCGTGAGGAGCACTGGACTCCTGCTGCGACCGTGAGGAGCACTGGACTCCTGCTGCGACCGTGAGGAGCACTGGACTCCTGCTGCGACCGTGAGGAGCACTGGACTCCTGCTGCGACCGTGAGGAGCACTGGACTCCTGCTGCGACCGTGAGGAGCACTGGACTCCTGCTGCGACCGTGAGGAGCACTGGACTCCTGCTGCGACCGTGAGGAGCACTGGACTCCTGCTGCGACCGTGAGGAGCACTGGACTCCTGCTGCGACCGTGAGGAGCACTGGACTCCTGCTGCGACCGTGAGGAGCACTGGACTCCTGCTGCGACCGTGAGGAGCACTGGACTCCTGCTGCGACCGTGAGGAGCACTGGACTCCTGCTGCGACCGTGAGGAGCACTGGACTCCTGCTGCGACCGTGAGGAGCACTGGACTCCTGCTGCGACCGTGAGGAGCACTGGACTCCTGCTGCGACCGTGAGGAGCACTGGACTCCTGCTGCGACCGTGAGGAGCACTGGACTCCTGCTGCGACCGTGAGGAGCACTGGACTCCTGCTGCGACCGTGAGGAGCACTGGACTCCTGCTGCGACCGTGAGGAGCACTGGACTCCTGCTGCGACCGTGAGGAGCACTGGACTCCTGCTGCGACCGTGAGGAGCACTGGACTCCTGCTGCGACCGTGAGGAGCACTGGACTCCTGCTGCGACCGTGAGGAGCACTGGACTCCTGCTGCGACCGTGAGGAGCACTGGACTCCTGCTGCGACCGTGAGGAGCACTGGACTCCTGCTGCGACCGTGAGGAGCACTGGACTCCTGCTGCGACCGTGAGGAGCACTGGACTCCTGCTGCGACCGTGAGGAGCACTGGACTCCTGCTGCGACCGTGAGGAGCACTGGACTCCTGCTGCGACCGTGAGGAGCACTGGACTCCTGCTGCGACCGTGAGGAGCACTGGACTCCTGCTGCGACCGTGAGGAGCACTGGACTCCTGCTGCGACCGTGAGGAGCACTGGACTCCTGCTGCGACCGTGAGGAGCACTGGACTCCTGCTGCGACCGTGAGGAGCACTGGACTCCTGCTGCGACCGTGAGGAGCACTGGACTCCTGCTGCGACCGTGAGGAGCACTGGACTCCTGCTGCGACCGTGAGGAGCACTGGACTCCTGCTGCGACCGTGAGGAGCACTGGACTCCTGCTGCGACCGTGAGGAGCACTGGACTCCTGCTGCGACCGTGAGGAGCACTGGACTCCTGCTGCGACCGTGAGGAGCACTGGACTCCTGCTGCGACCGTGAGGAGCACTGGACTCCTGCTGCGACCGTGAGGAGCACTGGACTCCTGCTGCGACCGTGAGGAGCACTGGACTCCTGCTGCGACCGTGAGGAGCACTGGACTCCTGCTGCGACCGTGAGGAGCACTGGACTCCTGCTGCGACCGTGAGGAGCACTGGACTCCTGCTGCGACCGTGAGGAGCACTGGACTCCTGCTGCGACCGTGAGGAGCACTGGACTCCTGCTGCGACCGTGAGGAGCACTGGACTCCTGCTGCGACCGTGAGGAGCACTGGACTCCTGCTGCGACCGTGAGGAGCACTGGACTCCTGCTGCGACCGTGAGGAGCACTGGACTCCTGCTGCGACCGTGAGGAGCACAGGGACTGGACTCCTGCTGCGACCGTGAGGAGCACAGGGACTGGACTCCTGCTGCGACCGTGAGGAGCACAGGGACTGGACTCCTGCTGCGACCGTGAGGAGCACAGGGACTGGACTCCTGCTGCGACCGTGAGGAGCACAGGGACTGGACTCCTGCTGCGACCGTGAGGAGCACAGGGACTGGACTCCTGCTGCGACCGTGAGGAGCACAGGGACTGGACTCCTGCTGCGACCGTGAGGAGCACAGGGACTGGACTCCTGCTGCGACCGTGAGGAGCACAGGGACTGGACTCCTGCTGCGACCGTGAGGAGCACAGGGACTGGACTCCTGCTGCGACCGTGAGGAGCACAGGGACTGGACTCCTGCTGCGACCGTGAGGAGCACAGGGACTGGACTCCTGCTGCGACCGTGAGGAGCACAGGGACTGGACTCCTGCTGCGACCGTGAGGAGCACAGGGACTGGACTCCTGCTGCGACCGTGAGGAGCACAGGGACTGGACTCCTGCTGCGACCGTGAGGAGCACAGGGACTGGACTCCTGCTGCGGCCGTGAGGAGCACAGGGACTGGACTCCTGCTGCGGCCGTGAGGAGCACAGGGACTGGACTCCTGCTGCGGCCGTGAGGAGCACAGGGACTGGACTCCTGCTGCGGCCGTGAGGAGCACAGGGACTGGACTCCTGCTGCGGCCGTGAGGAGCACAGGGACTGGACTCCTGCTGCGGCCGTGAGGAGCACAGGGACTGGACTCCTGCTGCGGCCGTGAGGAGCACAGGGACTGGACTCCTGCTGCGGCCGTGAGGAGCACAGGGACTGGACTCCTGCTGCGGCCGTGAGGAGCACAGGGACTGGACTCCTGCTGCGGCCGTGAGGAGCACAGGGACTGGACTCCTGCTGCGGCCGTGAGGAGCACAGGGACTGGACTCCTGCTGCGGCCGTGAGGAGCACAGGGACTGGACTCCTGCTGCGGCCGTGAGGAGCACAGGGACTGGACTCCTGCTGCGACCGTGAGGAGCACAGGGACTGGACTCCTGCTGCGACCGTGAGGAGCACAGGGACTGGACTCCTGCTGCGACCGTGAGGAGCACAGGGACTGGACTCCTGCTGCGACCGTGAGGAGCACAGGGACTGGACTCCTGCTGCGACCGTGAGGAGCACAGGGACTGGACTCCTGCTGCGACCGTGAGGAGCACAGGGACTGGACTCCTGCTGCGACCGTGAGGAGCACAGGGACTGGACTCCTGCTGCGACCGTGAGGAGCACAGGGACTGGACTCCTGCTGCGACCGTGAGGAGCACAGGGACTGGACTCCTGCTGCGACCGTGAGGAGCACAGGGACTGGACTCCTGCTGCGACCGTGAGGAGCACAGGGACTGGACTCCTGCTGCGACCGTGAGGAGCACAGGGACTGGACTCCTGCTGCGACCGTGAGGAGCACAGGGACTGGACTCCTGCTGCGACCGTGAGGAGCACAGGGACTGGCCTCCTGCTGCGACCGTGAGGAGCACAGGGACTGGCCTCCTGCTGGGACCGTGAGGAGCACAGGGACTGGCCTCCTGCTGGGACCGTGAGGAGCACAGGGACTGGCCTCCTGCTGGGACCGTGAGGAGCACAGGGACTGGCCTCCTGCTGGGACCGTGAGGAGCACAGGGACTGGCCTCCTGCTGGGACCGTGAGGAGCACAGGGACTGGCCTCCTGCTGGGACCGTGAGGAGCACAGGGACTGGCCTCCTGCTGGGACCGTGAGGAGCACAGGGACTGGCCTCCTGCTGGGACCGTGAGGAGCACAGGGACTGGCCTCCTGCTGGGACCGTGAGGAGCACAGGGACTGGCCTCCTGCTGGGACCGTGAGGAGCACAGGGACTGGCCTCCTGCTGGGACCATGAGGAGCACAGGGACTGGCCTCCTGCTGGGACCATGAGGAGCACAGGGACTGGCCTCCTGCTGGGACCATGAGGAGCACAGGGACTGGACTCCTGCTGGGACCATGAGGAGCACAGGGACTGGACTCCTGCTGGTCCCAGAGTCAGGACTAGACATGGGGAGGCAGTGTTTCAGATTCATGCAGATCAAACCTGGAACAGTCTTCCTAAAAATGTGAAACAGACGTCTTCTCTGACAATGTTCAAATCTGGGATAAACACTGAAGAATTTTACCTTTCCAAGACCAAAAAAATGGCGGTGAAGGAAAAGATGGAGACGAGAAGAGAGTGAGAGAATCTTTGCGATCACAGGTACAGCAGCAGACAGAGGACACAGGAGAACGTTCACTCTAACACCAGACCTCCCAGAGCAGTCAATCTGACGCCTTTTAGTCTTGGAGCTGTAAAGTCCTCTACATGTGTGATCTCCAAAACTGTGCAGAGGAAAGTATCTGTAGCTGTGAAAATACTAAAATACTACTACAGGTACAGATCACACAGGTACAGATCACGCAGGTACAGAGCACTACTACTGCAAACAAACGACTGGTACTCCTCTTACTTCTTCTTTATGTAATTATTTTTAATCTTTTATTTTTTATATGAGCAGAGGAGAAGAAAAGAGCTAGTGCTGGTAACCATAGCAACCTACTGTTAACATGCTACCAGATAGCATTAGCCTAGCATTGACAAACCGTATTTGTATCTCTCACTGGTATCTGACAGCTCTCGCTCTGGTCTCTCTCTCTAGTAAGTAAGTAAGTAATGTTTATTTATATAGCACATGTTACAGACCAAGGTACAGACCCAAATCACTTTCCAAAGTTCAGAGTCAGATATTGTTCCAATCCTTCCACACACGGTGATGACAGAAGCGAGTCCAGAACACACTGGACCATCAAAGCCTCTGACCCAACACCATCCATTCACTCTCTCATTTACATTCAGACCTACTGTGCATGTTTTAGTGGTAGGGGAAACCGTAGTACCCGGAGGTAACCTACGCAGACACAGGGAGAACATGCAAACTCCACTCAGAAAGTTCCTGTTCCGACCGGGATTCGACCCAGGACCTTCTTGCTGAGAAGCGAGAGCTCTCTCTCGCTCTCTCTCTGAAATTATTCTTTATTTTCAAAATGGAGCAGAGAAGTTGAGAAGAGCTAGCGCAGGTAACCATAGCAACCTACTGTTAACTTGCTACCCGTTAGCATTAGCCTAGCATTAACAAACCGTATTTTTCTGTATTTCAAGTTACATTCATCCGTTTTAGCACTTATTAAAAGTGAGTTAAGGTGAATTTAAATAAACTGAATAACTCACTTCCACGGCTAATTAGCATTTACATAAACTTTACTCTGCTCTTTTCATAATTATTATTTTTCTTTTGTTATCGCAGATGTTTGTATGTTAATTATTTTTGTTCTTGCTAAAATAAGTTGCTACCCACTGTTGTGTGTGTGCCTGTGTTACTTCTGCATGAAGGCGCTACAGACATGAAGGTGCTACAGACATGAAAGTGCTACAGACATGAAAGTGCTACAGACATGAAGGTGCTACAGACATGAAGGTGCTACAGACATGAAAGTGCTACAGACATGAAAGTGCTACAGACATGAAGGTGCTACAGACATGAAGGTGCTACAGACATGAAAGTGCTACAGACATGAAGGTGCTACAGACATGAAGGTGCTACAGACATGAAAGTGCTACAGACATGAAAGTGCTACAGACATGAAAGTGCTACAGACATGAAAGTGCTACAGACATGAAAGTGCTACAGACATGAAGGTGCTACAGACATGAAGGTGCTACAGACATGAAAGTGCTACAGACATGAAAGTGCTACAGACATGAAGGTGCTACAGACATGAAGGCGCTACAGACATGAAGGCGCTACAGACATGAAGGCGCTACAGACATGAAGGCGCTACAGACATGAAAGTGCTACAGACATGAAGGTGCTACAGACATGAAGGCGCTACAGACATGAAGGCGCTACAGACATGAAAGTGCTACAGACATGAAGGTGCTACAGACATGAAGGTGCTACAGACATGAAAGTGCTACAGACATGAAGGCGCTACAGACATGAAGGCGCTACAGACATGAAAGTGCTACAGACATGAAAGTGCTACAGACATGAAAGTGCTACAGACATGAAGGCGCTACAGACATGAAGGCGCTACAGACATGAAAGTGCTACAGACATGAAGGTGCTACAGACATGAAGGCGCTACAGACATGAAGGCGCTACAGACATGAAAGTGCTACAGACATGAAAGTGCTACAGACATGAAAGTGCTACAGACATGAAAGTGCTACAGACATGAAAGCGCTACAGACATGAAGGCGCTACAGACATGAAGGCGCTACAGACATGAAGGTGCTACAGACATGAAAGTGCTACAGACATGAAAGTGCTACAGACATGAAAGTGCTACAGACACGAAAGTGCTACAGACATGAAGGTGCTACAGACATGAAGGTGCTACAGACATGAAAGTGCTACAGACATGAAAGTGCTACAGACATGAAAGTGCTACAGACATGAAAGTGCTACAGACATGAAGGTGCTACAGACATGAAGGTGCTACAGACATGAAGGTGCTACAGACATGAAGGTACTACAGACATGAAGGTGCTACAGACTAGGGCTGGGCGATAAAACGATAACGATATATATCGTGATAGACATGTGTTCGATATCAATAGAGAATGGGGTCGATAGAATGTTCGATAGTTTAACTTAACTCCGTCAGGAAAAACAAGAAGAAAACACCGGAAGTAAAGCCGACTCATAAGCGCATGGCATTGTGGGGGATGTAGGCAGAGGCTTCTCGACCAATAACAGCCGAGCAGGAACCGCAAAACTTTGTGGGAAATGCAAAAACACCAACAACCGCAGCATGCGTAGCGTCCATGGATCTATAGCTCGTGTTTCAATGCCGTGTCAATGGTTATGCACGTACGTGCGCGGAATAACATGTGCGGCGGCAGAGGCAGTGGACAGACACCATGTATTCGGCAAAAGCAAGAGATTAACTTTTTCCTCGGGAAGCATGTGCGGCACAGAGAGCCGCACGGAGCGGTCACGGGGACACAAGACCCTCAAACAGCTAAACCAGGAGCTAAACCAGGAATAAAAAACCAGGATTAAACCAGGACTAACAACGAAGGACACAGTGTGAACATATTCCTCCAGCCTCATCGCCCCGTGACTGTAAATAATAATAATAATAATAATAAATCGGTTTTATATAACGCTTTTTTGGACACTCAAAGACGCTTCACATGTGTCATTATTCATTCACTCCATACACGGTGGTGATAAACTACTACTGTAGCCACAGCTGCCCTGGGGCACACTGACAGAAGCGAGGCAACCAGTCTGTGCCATCGGCCCCTCTGACCACCACCAACCATTCACACACACACCAGACTCATTCTAGGCAATGGGGTTAGTGTCTTGCCTAAGGACACAACGGCAGTTTGGCACTTTACAGCCGCAGCCGCCCCCACTGTGGCTGGTGTTCCCAGAGGTTAAGTGTCTTGCCCAAGGACACAACGACAGTAGTCAGTGGGAGTCGATGGTGAATGTCTTGAGCGGGGCTTGAACCCACGACCTTCTGGCTCAAAGGCCAACGCTCTACCAACTGAGCTACTGCCGCCCGTAAACAAGGCTGCTAAGGTTGGTTAGCCCACACGACAAATGTATTTATTTAGGTTAACAAAGAAAAAACTCAATATATATTGTTATTGACCGATATGAATGACTTATATCGTGATATAGTTTTCAGCCATATCGCCCAGCCCTACTACAGACATGAAGGCGCTACAGACATGAAGGTGCTACAGACATGAAGGCGCTACAGACATGAAGGCGCTACAGACATGAAAGCGCTACAGACATGAAGGCGCTACAGACATGAAGGCGCTACAGACATGAAGGCGCTACAGACATGAATACAGACATGAAGGCGCTACAGACATGAAGGCGCTACAGACATGAAGGCGCTACAGACATGAAGGCGCTACAGACATGAAGGTGCTACAGACATGAAGGCGCTACAGACATGAAGGCGCTACAGACATGAATACAGACATGAAGGCGCTACAGACATGAAGGCGCTACAGACATGAAGGCGCTACGGACATGAAGGCGCTACGGACATGAAGGCGCTACAGACATGAAGGTGCTACAGACACGAAGGTGCTACAGACATGAAGGTGCTACAGACATGAAGGCGCTACGGACATGAAGGCGCTACGGACATGAAGGCGCTACAGACATGAAGGTGCTACAGACATGAAGGTGCTACAGACATGAAGGCGCTACAGACATGAAAGTGCTACAGACATGAAAGTGCTACAGACATGAAAGCGCTACAGACATGAAGGTGCTACAGACATGAAGGCGCTACAGACATGAAAGTGCTACAGACATGAAGGTGCTACAGACATGAAGGTGCTACAGACATGAAGGCGCTACAGACATGAAGGTGTGTTGCCATCTCAATGGGAGCAGTCAAAATGACGGCTCTGGGAGTCCGAGAGTCAAATCAATCTATGCAAGCACGTGGCACCGTACAGCGTGTGTGTCTGTATCTGTATGTGTTTTTGTCTGTATATGTATCCGTGTGTGGGTGCATTTGTGTGTGTATGTCTGCGTGTCTGTGCATATGTGTATGTGTCTGCGTGTGTGTGTGTGTATCTGCATCTGTGTGAGTATGTCTGTGCATACTTGTATGTGTTTGTATCTATGTCTGTGTACATGTGTATCTGTGTGTGTGTGTGTGTGTATACATGTGTATCTGTGTGTGTGTGTGTGTATATACATGTGTATCTGTGTGTGTGTCTATGTCTATGTCTGTATCTATGTGTGTGTGTCTGTGTATGTCTGTATCTGTATCTATGTGTGTGTGTCTGTGTCTATGTGTGTGTGTGTGTGTCTATGTCTGTGTCTATGTGTGTGTGTCTGTGTCTATGTGTGTGTGTGTCTGTGTCTATGTGTGTGTGTCTGTATCTATGTGTGTGTGTGTCTGTGTCTATGTCTGTGTCTATGTGTGTGTGTCTGTGTCTATGTGTGTAATTGTGTATACATGTGTAGTGGAGGCAGGACTCACCGAGAGTAAAGTACGGGAGAGCAGTATTCTCCAGATCATCCACCACCAACACGCGTCCCGGTATGTCCGTGCGCACAAACAGCAGCAGCCGGGACTCCCCTCCGGCCGTGGCCCCTGTCCCACCACCGGAGCTCCCCCCTGCACCTCCTCCTCCACCTCCACCTCCCCCTGCACCTCCTCCAGCTCCAGCTCCACCTCCTCCAGTGAAGCTGAACTCGTTCTCCCGGAGCACGGGCAGAGTGGACACGGTCACGGTCTTGAGCTCGCACGGTGTCTCTCCGTCGCCCCCCGCGTCGCTCCCGTGCTCCTCCGCTGTGCACGCGACCGGGCACAGGGCGAGCACCAGCCCCGAGACGAGCAGGACGCAACGGGAAAGATGCAGCGCGGGGATCCGAGCCATCTGCGCCTTGGTTCCTTCCCCCCCTGGTCTGGTCTGAGTCTGTGTCCGTTGGGTCTGGGTCTGCGTCCGGTGGGTCTGGTCTGGGCTCGTGCAGGAGAGACGTCGTCCGTGCGCGCGTCCAGGAGGCGGCAGCACAGGTGGAGAGTGATCACAGATGCATCAGCAACATGGAGCTGCACGTGCTCCCGCGGAGGCAGAATATGACGCGGTGGTCACGTGGTCCGCGCATATACTGTACACTGTTCTGTTGTGGCGGTGTCATTGGCTCAGAAAACAGAAAATGATTCATGTGACATTTGTCTAAAACTGCAGCTGTAGTTAGAGGTGTTGTTTCAAAGCTGGAGGAACACAAAACATTTATTTATTCTTTAAAAATAATAAGTTTCTCGCAGTGAAAGAAGTGTGTTTTCTGTCGCTGTCCATAGTTTGGGGCTGATTACAGAAAACAAGAACTGGATAAGAATCGGAGCGAGAGAGAGAAGATAGAAAAGAGAGAGACCAGAGATGGAAAGACCAGAAAGAGAGAGATAGAAAAGAGAGGGAGACCAGAGAGAGACCAGAGAGAGAGAGTAGAAAGAGACCAGAGATACAGAGCAGAGAGAGAGAAACCAGAAAGAGAGAAAGACCAGAGAGGGAGATATAGAAAAGGGAGAGACCAGTGAGAGATAGAAAGACCAGAAAGAGAGTGATAGAAAATAGAGAGACTGGAGATAGACCAAATAAAGGCCAAAGAGAGAGAGATTGAGACCAGAAAGAAAAGAGAGGGAGATAATAGAAAAGAGAGAAACCAGAGAGAGATGGAAAGACCAGAAAGAGAGCGATAGAAAAGAGAGAGACACCAGAGAGAGACCAAAGAGAGACCAGAAGGGGAGGCCAGGGAGAGACCAAGGAGAGAGAGTAGAAAGAGACCAGAGATACAGAGCAGAGAGAGAGACCAGACTGAGAGAGAGACCAGAGAGGGACCATAGAGAGAAAGAGAGACCATAGAGAGAGAGAGAGACCATAGAGAGAGAGAGAGACCATAGAGAGAGAGAGGCCAGAGAGATACCACAGAGACCAGAGAGAGAGACCACAGAGAGACCATAGAGAGAAAGAGAGACCATAGAGAGAGAGAGAGGCCAGAGAGAGAGACCATAGAGAGAGATACCACAGAGAGACCATAGAGAGAAAGAGAGACCATAGAGAGAAAGAGAGACCATAGAGAGAGAGAGGCCAGAGAGAGACCACAGAGACCAGAGAGAGAGACCACAGAGAGAAAGAGAGACCAGAGGGAGAGAGAGAGACAAGAGAGGGACCAGGGAGTGAGAGAGACCATAGAGAGAGACCAGAGAGAGAGAGAGAGACCACAGAGAGAGACCAGAGAGAGAGAGAGAGACCACAGAGAGAGACCAGAGAGAGAGAGAGAGACCACAGAGAGAGACCAGAGAGAGAGAGAGAGACCACAGAGAGAGCGGTCTGAATCCCTTCATCGCAGGAAGAGAAACTGAACCAATAATAATCAATAATAACAGTCCAGAGTCAAACCGCTCTGTGATCACCACGTCTCAGGAAAAGGAAGAAGGACCTAACATACAATACTGCAAATAATAAAAGAATTTAATAAACGAGAATTAAAATAAATAAATAAAGAGGACTGAGATAAGAGCAGACAGAAAGAGGAGCACAGGGACTTTAACTGGGAGACATAGGTACACATGAGGACGGGGCAAGCGACTAGATAAGTAAGTAAGTAATCTTTATACATACACATATAGTGCCTTATTTAAAGATGGGAAGTGAAACTCAGAGAGAAACAGGAAGTACAAACTCAAACAGGAAGTACAAACTCAAACGGGAAGTACAAACAGGAAGTACACACTCAAACAGGAAGTACACACTCAAACAGGAAGTACACACTCATACAGGAAGTGTCACTCCCGTATTCGTCCCGGAAACCGGATTCGCCCGGAAGTTCAGTTTGCGCATGTCAAAAAGTTTATTAAGGCTCGTTCCTGGTCTTTGCAGAGTTTGTGATTGTACAGAGGTCTTAAGGCTCGTCCTGGTCTTTGCAGAGTGTGTGATTGTACAGAGGTCTTAAGGCTCGTCCTGGTCTTTGCAGAGTGTGTGATTGTACAGAGGTCTTAAGGCTCGTCCTGGTCTTTGCAGAGTGTGTGATTGTACAGAGGTCTTAAGGCTCGTCCTGGTCTTTGCAGAGTGTGTGATTGTACAGAGGTCTTAAGGCTCGTCGTGGTCTTTGCAGAGTGTGTGATTGTACAGAGGTCTTAAGGCTCGTCGTGGTCTTTGCAGAGTGTGTGATTGTACAGAGGTCTTAAGGCTCGTCCTGGTCTTTGCAGAGTGTGTGATTGTACAGAGGTCTTAAGGCTCGTCCTGGTCTTTGCAGAGTGTGTGATTGTACAGAGGTCTTAAGGCTTGCCTGGTCTTTGCAGAGTGTGTGATTGTACAGAGGTCTTAAGGCTCGTCGTGGTCTTTGCAGAGTGTGTGATTGTACAGAGGTCTTAAGGCTCGTTGTGGTCTTAAGGCTCGTTGTGGTCTTTGCAGAGTGTGTGATTGTACAGAGGTCTTAAGGCTCGTCGTGGTCTTTGCAGAGTGTGTGATTGTACAGAGGTCTTAAGGCTCGTTGTGGTCTTTGCAGAGTGTGTGATTGTACAGAGGTCTTAAGGCTCGTCGTGGTCTTTGCAGAGTGTGTGATTGTACAGAGGTCTTAAGGCTCGTCGTGGTCTTTGCAGAGTGTGTGATTGTACAGAGGTCTTAAGGCTCGTCGTGGTCTTTGCAGAGTGTGTGATTGTACAGAGGTCTTAAGGCTCGTCGTGGTCTTTGCAGAGTGTGTGATTGTACAGAGGTCTTTAGGCTCGTCCTGGTCTTTGCAGAGTGTGTGATTGTACAGAGGTCTTAAGGCTCGTCCTGGTCTTTGCAGAGTGTGTGATTGTACAGAGGTCTTAAGGCTCGTCCTGGTCTTTGCAGAGTGTGTGATTGTACAGAGGTCTTAAGGCTCGTCCTGGTCTTTGCAGAGTGTGTGATTGTACAGAGGTCTTAAGGCTCGTCCTGGTCTTTGCAGAGTGTGTGATTGTACAGAGGTCTTAAGGCTCGTCCTGGTCTTTGCAGAGTGTGTGATTGTACAGAGGTCTTAAGGCTCGTCGTGGTCTTTGCAGAGTGTGTGATTGTACAGAGGTCTTAAGGCTCGTCCTGGTCTTTGCAGAGTGTGTGATTGTACAGAGGTCTTAAGGCTCGTCCTGGTCTTTGCAGAGTGTGTGATTGTACAGAGGTCTTAAGGCTCGTCGTGGTCTTTGCAGAGTGTGTGATTGTACAGAGGTCTTAAGGCTCGTCGTGGTCTTTGCAGAGTGTGTGATTGTACAGAGGTCTTAAGGCTCGTCGTGGTCTTTGCAGAGTGTGTGATTGTACAGAGGTCTTAAGGCTCGTCCTGGTCTTTGCAGAGTGTGTGATTGTACAGAGGTCTTAAGGCTCGCCTGGTCTTTGCAGAGTGTGTGATTGTACAGAGGTCTTAAGGCTCGTCGTGGTCTTTGCAGAGTGTGTGATTGTACAGAGGTCTTAAGGCTCGTCGTGGTCTTTGCAGAGTGTGTGATTGTACAGAGGTCTTAAGGCTCGTCGTGGTCTTTGCAGAGTGTGTGATTGTACAGAGGTCTTAAGGCTCGTGTGGTCTTTGCAGAGTGTGTGATTGTACAGAGGTCTTAAGGCTCGTCGTGGTCTTTGCAGAGTGTGTGATTGTACAGAGGTCTTAAGGCTCGTCGTGGTCTTTGCAGAGTGTGTGATTGTACAGAGGTCTTAAGGCTCGTCGTGGTCTTTGCAGAGTGTGTGATTGTACAGAGGTCTTAAGGCTCGTCGTGGTCTTTGCAGAGTGTGTGATTGTACAGAGGTCTTAAGGCTCGTCCTGGTCTTTGCAGAGTGTGTGATTGTACAGAGGTCTTAAGGCTCGTCGTGGTCTTTGCAGAGTGTGTGATTGTACAGAGGTCTTAAGGCTCGTCGTGGTCTTTGCAGAGTGTGTGATTGTACAGAGGTCTTAAGGCTCGTCCTGGTCTTTGCAGAGTGTGTGATTGTACAGAGGTCTTAAGGCTCGTCCTGGTCTTTGCAGAGTGTGTGATTGTACAGAGGTCTTAAGGCTCGTCCTGGTCTTTGCAGAGTGTGTGATTGTACAGAGGTCTTAAGGCTCGTCGTGGTCTTTGCAGAGTGTGTGATTGTACAGAGGTCTTAAGGCTCGTCGTGGTCTTTGCAGAGTGTGTGATTGTACAGAGGTCTTAAGGCTCGTCCTGGTCTTTGCAGAGTGTGTGATTGTACAGAGGTCTTAAGGCTCGTCCTGGTCTTTGCAGAGTGTGTGATTGTACAGAGGTCTTAAGGCTCGTCCTGGTCTTTGCAGAGTGTGTGATTGTACAGAGGTCTTAAGGCTCGTCGTGGTCTTTGCAGAGTGTGTGATTGTACAGAGGTCTTAAGGCTCGTCGTGGTCTTTGCAGAGTGTGTGATTGTACAGAGGTCTTAAGGCTCGTCCTGGTCTTTGCAGAGTGTGTGATTGTACAGAGGTCTTAAGGCTCGTCCTGGTCTTTGCAGAGTGTGTGATTGTACAGAGGTCTTAAGGCTCGTCCTGGTCTTTGCAGAGTGTGTGATTGTACAGAGGTCTTAAGGCTCGTCCTGGTCTTTGCAGAGTGTGTGATTGTACAGAGGTCTTAAGGCTCGTCGTGGTCTTTGCAGAGTGTGTGATTGTACAGAGGTCTTAAGGCTCGTCGTGGTCTTTGCAGAGTGTGTGATTGTACAGAGGTCTTAAGGCTCGTCCTGGTCTTTGCAGAGTGTGTGATTGTACAGAGGTCTTAAGGCTCGTCCTGGTCTTTGCAGAGTGTGTGATTGTACAGAGGTCTTAAGGCTCGTCGTGGTCTTTGCAGAGTGTGTGATTGTACAGAGGTCTTAAGGCTCGTCGTGGTCTTTGCAGAGTGTGTGATTGTACAGAGGTCTTAAGGCTCGTGTGGTCTTTGCAGAGTGTGTGATTGTACAGAGGT